ATAGACACTTCTCCAAAGTGGACATACAGAAAGCCAAAAGGCACATGAAAAAATGCTCAAAGTCACTAATCATCAGAGAAATGCAAATTAAAATGGCAATGAGATATCACCTCACACCTGTCAGAACGGCTACCATGAACAAATCAACAAACAACAAGTGTTGGTGAAGATGGGGGAAAAAGGGAACCCTAGTGCACTGCTGGTGGGAATGCACACTGGTGTAGCCATTATGGAAAACAGTATGGAGTTTCTTCGAAAAATTAAAAATGGAACTTCCATTTGACCCAGTGATCCCAATTATACGAATATATCCTAAGAAATCAGAAACACCAATCATAAAGAATATATGCGCCCCTACGCTTATAGCAGTGCCATTAACAATAGCTAACATTTGGAAACAGCCCAGGTGCCCATGAGCAGATGAGTGGATAAAAAATCTGTGATACATTTACTCAGTGGAATACTATGCAGCTATAAAAAGAAAGAACTCTTACCATTTGCAACAGCATGGATGGACTTGGGAGAATATTATGCTAAGCAAAATAAGAGAGAAAGATCAGTATCACATGATCTCACTTTTATGTGGAATCTAAAGAACAAAATAAACTGATGAACAAAATAGATCCAGAGACATAAAAGCATGGAACAAACTGTTGAACCTCAGAGGGAAGGCAGGGGAGGTTGGGTGGGAAGAGATCAACCAAAACCTTGCATGCATGTATGCATGACCCATGGACACAGACAATAGGGTTGTGAAGGCCTGAGGCAGCGGGCGGGGGCTACTAGAAGAGGTCCATGGGGAGTGAGGGTGGGAAAGTGGGTATATGTTATCCTTTCCACAATAAAGATTTTTAAAAAGTAGATCAAGTTCATGATGCACATCTGAAAAATGGAAAAACTGACTTGTTACTAGATATTGACTGGAAATGGAATGGTTTACTCTGGGTGGTGTCTTAATAGAAGTTTCTTGATGAATTAGATAACAAATAAAAGAATATAGGACGGTTGCTCATGATTGGCCTCCTGGAGTAGGAAGATTCCAGAACTGGGTACGTGTCTTCCTTCAGCATGGCTACCTGCTCACCCGGACAGGATGTCAATATTTGATGACATCCTGGGACAGCTCTGTGTAACATGGGGTGGAGCGTCTCCGTAGGAATCAGTACCAGTTTTTTCAAGGAACCAGCATGGCTCCTTTCCTACAGGAAGAGCTGTAGAGGTGTAGGGAGAGCCTCCCACTTCAGTATTAGGCAGAAATGACGCTTCTAACTATGGCCTTCCGTTTGCAGAGAGTGGCGGAGTTGAAGATAGAGGAGCGGCAGTGTGAGTGTGTCTTTGAATTGAGACCCTGTTGGTGGGTGGGTTCCCCACGGAGACGTGTAGTTCAGTAGGAGGTCCGAGAGCCAGCGTTGGGTTAGCAGCTAATGGCACCATCTTCATTGCTGACAACCTCATGCCCTCGAGTGAGTTGCTTCTTTGTGCCTTCGCTTCTCTCTGCAAACTGAAAGACTCTATTGGTCCGCAACTGACATAGAGATTCCCTAGAACACTGAGGGGGTCCGCTGACCCTTCTTTATCTCACAGTCCCCTTTATTACCTCTCCTCGGTGGTGGCCTCCTTCCCAATGAGAGAATTCTCTGGGGTTCTGTGCTGAGCCCACAGTGGACCCAGCAGGGGCTCAGCAGTCTCATTAGTTTGAATGGAGGCATGAGTTCTGCATCTGAAGTTGTCTAGAAATTTCAGAAGAAAATTGCTGAAGAATTACAGAGAGATTCGAAAGTACTAAAAAACAAAACAAAACAAAAAAAACACAGAGGCCAGAAAGTCCTCTTGAAAATCCTTTTCCAGTTTCACTCAGCAGAGAGGACCTCCGTGCCTTAGGATGTGCCAGGCCATAAAGATAAGCACTAACCTTCCATCTTCTGGGAAGGGCTTATCGGTCCCATGTTTGGGGAAAAGCCACCTCCTGGGAAGACGACCTATCAGCGTCCTCATCCTGTACTTTACCAGGGTCCGCGTCCTGGGGTTGTGATGTCAGTCCCGCTGTTCCCAGAGGGAGGCTCAGTGTTTGGTCCTTGAAGAGAGCACACCCTGGAGGGGGCGGGAATCGTTTGCTCAGGATCAGGCCCCAGCCAGGGCCCCTCCCAGGCCCTCTGCACTTGAGATAGCTCAGGGAAACTTCCTCACTATCACTGTGACCTCCAGGGCCCCCGCGTTGCCAGTTAATCATTACATGGGCAAGGCTGTATTCCTCTGGCTTTCTGGCCTGTTTTTGCAGCTGCCTGGGTTTATTACTGGCCAAGGGCCTTGGCTGGTGTTTGGATTGCATACTGATAGGCGGCCAATTGGCCCCAGCTCAGCCCTCGCTGCATAGGAGTGAGGCTCCCCTTGGGAAACTGGAGCATCTGGGTTGTTAGCACCCACTTCGCCAGGTTGCTGAGAGGCCCAGGCACTGAGCACCCACATTTCCTTCTGGAGAAATCCCTCAAATAAAGTTGGGATCCAGGTAGCTCAGAGCCAGAGCAGGAAACCTCAGAGTGGCAGGTAAAGAGGCGAAGATGAGTCACGGCCCTGCTCCTCGGGCCTCTGCTCAGGGTCCAAACGGCGGGGCCTGACCATGTCTCCTGTTCTGAGATCCACTCTTCCTCCTCATGTCCCCCTCATTCTCCCCTATTCGTGCTCGTGGGCGCTGAGACAAGCCAGAGCTGTTTGATGCGTATATTGCAAAAGCAAGCTGACTTTCTCCAGAAGCACCTCCTAGCTTTTTCAACAACCATCAGAAAATTCTTAGTAATTAAATAAAGTTGGGGAGGGTTCCAGGTGCATCTGGCCAAATGACCCCTGTGAGCTAATCCGGTTCACAGAAGAGCCACTGCGTGCCGCAGGGTGACTGCTCATCTCTGTCCCAGTTGTGTGCTTTCTCACCTCCTCTCCTAACTGGCCACTTCCTAGCCCGTGCCCTTCCAGCCAGTCTCCTTATCGAGGCTTCCTTCTTATTCTAGGCCTAAAACGTTCTTCCCCTCCTCAAAGCTCTGTTGAGTGGTGTCTGTCCTTGCTTGCCCTCAGCGTGCACCCCCGTGCTCAGAGCGGGGTGCACACTGCACATCTGCATCGTCTTTGATCTGAGCTACTATGTTGTCTCTGAAGTTAGTTCTCGGGGCTGAGGCTGGGCTCCCCTTTCCTGGAGGTAGCTCAGGGCTCTTTCAAATATGGAGCCGGCACAGTGGGTGGCACTGTGCCCTAAGGGTCCCTCACTACCACATCTAGGTCGCTGGGAAATCAGGTTGTGATTGGGTCAGTAACTGACAGCACAGGAGGACAGGGGTGACTCAAAAGCCATTTCCTCCCCCGCCTGTGTGTGTTTTCTGAGCCACTCCCACCACATGCAGTGACAGGGACATGGAGGCATCGACCCTCCCCCACAGCCTCACAGCTTTCAGTTGGAAGTCCTTAGACAAAACCTCAGCTTTGGTGCTCCCTGGATGGCAGGCCTGGGTCAGGCATGAGCTTCCTCCTCTTCCCTCCCTCTCATCTCACTACCTTCTCAGAACCCACGGTGTAGACCTGATGGGAAAGGGGCACGAGGAGCCATTAGGAGACGCTGAGGGAGAACCTGCCCAGGAAGCTTCAGGAAGTCCTAGGGGACAGGGCAGGGTGCTGGGCATTGCTTCCCAGGAGGCTTTGCAGACCTGGGTGCAGTGGGCACCTGCTGGCTTCTGTGAGGGGCCAGAGGAAGGCAGAGGAGCAGCTGTGGGGCTCCAGGCCCTGGGGTGTGGAGCAGGTACTCCCAGGGTCTGGGCCGTGGCCGCTGTGGACGGAATAGAGGGTGGGAAGAGTGGTGGAAGCATCTTCCTCCGGTGGTTTAGACACAGACTGGACCAGAGACCCCGTCCGCCTCTGCCCCCCGCGCACTGGAGGGGGCTCTGCAGTCGGTGCCATGGAAGGTGGGCACCTGGAACCAGGTGCGGTCTGTCCTTCCAAATGTGCCCCGCAGTCCCTTCCTCCTGGCCTGCCTCCGAGCTTCGTGAGACTGGGAGAATTTGTCATTCCAAACAAAGCCTGCTTCCTCCCTTTTATGACATAGCTGACAGCGTTAGTTTCCTCCGTGATTTCTTTTATTGCCCTCAATTTTTATTAATCCCGCGGCTGCCAGGGATAACTGTCTCATAAAATAATAGCTGAGGGAGCTATTGCCGGAGGCCCGTGCCGACGAGTTAGAGAACATCTCGTCGCTCCCTGGAGTAGGGGTGCTGGGCACAAGTGCGGGGTCGCGTCAAGGTGTCAGCATGGCCTCAGAGATTTGTGATGACGTTCCGTGTCCTGCGGCAGGCAGGCCCGACGCTTTGCAGCAGCCGGAGTCCAGAGCAGGCCCCTCTGTGACCCACAACCCCCCCAGGGAAAGGGCTGCCATGCAGACACGGCTGAGGGGAGGATGCAGCCCCTGAGGTGTCACAACCCCCCGCCCCAGAGAGGATCTGGGCACATCCAACTGAGAAGAGGGTGTAGCGCCCCACTGTGAGGTTAGATGTTCTACCCGGGGAGCCCCAACTTTCCTCAGAACCCCCCTGCACCTGCCACTTTCCTTGCCTGGGTACAGAATGGTCTTTTCTTTTTTAAAAAATATATTTTACGGATATTTTTACAGAGAGGAAGGGAGAGGGATAGAGAGTTAGAAACATTGATGAAAGAGAAACATCGATCAGCTGCCTCCTGCACACCCCCCCACTGGGGATGTGCCCACAACCAAGGTACATGCCCTTGACCAGAATCGAACCCGGGACCCTTGAGTCTGCAGGCTGAGGCTCTATCCACTGAGCCATACCGGTTAGGGCCCAGGATGGTCTTTTCTTTAGCACCCTGCCTCCCCCACTGGCCTCACTGCCGCCTGCCAGTCAGCCAACCTGAGGCCTCAGCGGAGAGAGCAAGGAGCACAGACAGTTCTTCCTGCAGCCGGAGTCAAAGGAGAGTGTTTCTTGGTCTAGTGGTAGGTGCTGGGAGCAGAGAGCCCTGGCCCCTGGCTGGGGTCCCCAAAGTGGCTGTGTCTTTCTCTGTTTTTGTCCACTGCCTGCTCAGCTGATGGGTTTGAATTGGGTACGGGACTCACGCACCAGAAACATATTACAGTGGCCTTAACTGTCCTGACTTGACCAGTGGGCAGCTGTCACTGGCCATCAGAAGGACACCCCCTTGGAATGCCCTATGACCTGGCCAGCCGGGGTCCATTCGTGTGGCGCTGTCCGTGTTTCCTGTTTTCTTTCTTGCACCAC